TGGACCCTCCTAGCTCCGAAGCCCCCGCTGAAGACCCCCTGGAGCTGTTTACTGAGATGGGCGAGTTCAGCAACGAGGACATCTGCCGGTACATCGACCGCAGCTTCTCCTTCTGGAAGGAGAAGGAGGCGGAGCTTTTTGACATCTGAGCCGCAGAATTCAGGATTTCCCCTCACACACCTTAGCCTGGACCTGGATGTCTGCCTGGATGCCTGGATGATGCGCTCCGGAGTCAGAAGCGAACCAAGAACCCTGGAGGGTAGCCTTGGAAAACCCAGGACCAGGCTGCCTGGCCACTGAGGTCGCATCATGGCCGGCTGTGGGGAGTTGGCCGGATAGGCCAGGCATGGCACAGGGCAAACCAGGAGTGCCCTCTGGCCGTGCAGCCTTGCCTGGCTCCGTGTGGAGCCAGGTGGGAGGAGCAGCCCCTCCGAGCTAGGGACTGTGGGTCCCCCTTGGGGCTGTGTGGCTCCTCTCTGGATTTCACTGGGGTTCACAGCTACTTCTTTGGTTAAGGTCGGGGATCCAGGTGTGCAGTGTTCCGTGTGACGTGTTCTCTGTAAGGTGCGAGTAATAAAACCCTTCGCTCTGAGCTGCCTGTGTTGGATGCCCCCCACTCTCGGTTGTAGAGTTCATGTCTACTCCATTTGGGAAGGGCCTTCACGGCGGAACCAGGGCCCAGCCTGAGCCTCTCAGAGCTGGCAGGGTCTGCAGGGCCCAGGTATGGGCCTGCCTGAAGATCGTGGGTCACAGGCCTGGGGCCATCTGTCTACCCGCCTGTATGGGGACTCTCATTCCCTGCTCTCACCGCCTGCACTCAGCTCTGACCCTTCTGGCGCCGCCTCTAGGACACAGGCCTGTTAGAGGGGGAGGGAGGGGCCTCCTGACCCTTGCAAGGGGCGTGTGGCCAGGCTCCTCCATCCATTTGCCCGGGAGAAAGGTATCAAAGGGTCTCTTCCTGTACCTCCGTTTGTGTCCTGTTGTCCCTAACTCCTGCAGGTCCCCCCAGTTGGGGATGCACCCCCTCTTGCCCGTACCTCCCAGCCCGTGGTACCCTGAAGCTTTGTGTGTGTTTCAGGAGGAGGAAGAGGAGGCCCGGCTGGCCAGCATGCCTGCCTGGAGGCGGGACCTTCTTCGGAAGAAGCTAGAAGAGGAGAGGTGAGCTGGGGTCTGGCAGGGTGTCTGGATCATGTCCCTGAAGTGGTGGCACCAACTAATGCTGTCTCTTTTTCCTTCTAGGGAGCAGAAGCGGTGAGTGAGGGGCTGGTCCCAACCTGCCTCCCCTCCTTTGCCCCTTCATCTAGTCCCATCTTGAGCTCATCCCCTTGTCACTTGGCCCCGTAGCGCAGCCTCTCCTAGTAATGCCACCAGCCCCCCACTCCCCACCAACTAGACCCGGTCCCCAGAGTCTAGCTCTTATGCTGTAATGACTACATCCCCAATTACCCAGCCCTTCTCCCTCATTAACCTAGTCTTTCTGCTCAGTTAAAAAAAAAAAAAAGATATAGGTGAACTTAATTTTCATAGTATGTTTTAAATAGATTTGTATTGATTTCAGAGAGGAAGGGAGAGAGAGAGAGAAACATCAATGATGAGAGAGAGAATCATTGATCGACTGCCTCCTGCACACCCCCCACTGGGGGTCTAGCCCACAGCCCAGGCCTGTGCCCTGAGGGGGAATCAAACGGTGACCTCCTGGTTCATAGGTGGATGCCCAACCACCGAGCCACACCAGCTGGGCTATAGTATATTTTATATAACTCGATATATCAAAATTCAATTATATACTTCAATATATAATCAATATAAAATTATTACTGAGATGTCCTGCACGCTTAAATCTAAGCCTTTGCGATGCCATGAGCACCTCAAGCCTAACATTTCAAACCCTCAACAGCCCCATTTGCTCAGTGGCTGCCTTAGCAGTGCAGACCTAGCCGCCACACTTTTGTGTTGTGTGGGGTTTTTTCTGGAAAACAAAAAGTGCTTTGTTTTTCTAAATTTATCTTTATTGTTGAAAGTATTACAGATGTCCCCCATATTCCCCCATTGCCCCACATTTTAATAATTTGTCCATAATTACCCAGCCCCTGCCTCCCAATAGTGTGGTCCCTCTGCTCCCCAGAGTCCATCCTCAAGCCCCAGTCACTCAGGTCCTCGCCCCAATAATCTCATTCCCGCCCCCATAACCACCCTCCTCACCCTCAGCCTCACTGTGATCAGCACCTGTTCCAGTGAACCCCAGCCAGCAAAAACCCAGCCACGGCCTCCTGCTCACCCAGCTCCTAGGAGCGCTCCAGCAATCCCCTCTGCCTGCCTCCTAACCCAGCCCCCGGCTCCAGTCCCCTAGCACCTCTGCCCCTAGAAGCCACTGCCCACCCTCCCGCTCATCAGTCCCTCTGCCCTCAGGGGCGCAGCACTGGCCCCCCTCACCCTGGCGGTGGTTCTGTGTCTAGAAAAGAGGAGGAGCGACAGAAGCAGGAGGAGCTGCAGCGGGAAAGGGAGCAGTCGGAGAAGCTGCGGACGCTGGGCTACGACGAGACCAAGCTGGCGCCCTGGCAACGACAGATCATCCTGAAGAAGGGGGACATCGCTAAGTACTAGACGCTGC